GGGCGGGACGGGGCGGGGCTGCTGCGCACCTAGGCGGCTCCAGGAGACCAGCGGCCGCGGGTGGCCCGTGGCGATGCACTCCAGCACAGCAGTCTGGTGCACCGTGAGCGTCAGGTTCTGGGGCCCAGACAGGATCTCAGGCTCCTGCAGCAGCCGCGGGGATCCCGCTGCGGTGGAAACAGCAGGATGAGAGATTCGGGAGCAGAACCCTGGCCCCATGCCCTTTTGCTCCATCCGGCACAGCCCTTTTCTGCTCCAGGAGACTGTTCTGGGAGCTTAGGCTAAGCAGATGCTATTTCATTGCCGCTCTATAGATAAAGACAATGACATTCCCAGGACTCCTGAGTAAACAACAGAGTTCAGAAGCTTTGGGGTACTAAGCAGGCCCCGAGTGAAGCTAGTAGGGAGGAGACAGCGAGTGTACCCCTCACCACATCTGTCTCACCAGGTGGCCTGCCTGCAGCCCTATCTGACCACGAGCTGGTCCCCAGAACCTCCCTGCCAGGGGGAGGGCCACTGCCGGGTGACCAAAATCACCCACAGAGCTGTAAGGAGGAAGCCAGGCCTGCTGAGAGCTCAGCATGTCAGTTGTAGGGGAGGGCCCTAGGCATTTTTGAAACATACTAATATTTGGATTTAAACTGCCTCTTTATCTTATGCCCTCCCTCCATTTTATTAGGTTATTCAACAAACCTAACCCATCAGGTCACTCATTACTGGGGGGTGCAGGGGGTGACAGTGAGACATAAAGTAAACCAGACCTTTGTTTTCCTTTATCTTGTCACTCCCATTTTGCTTTGGTACTTTGCATTTGAAACACTAACATCTGTAACCCTTTCATAAACATTCTGTATTAAGAACTCGTGCAACATGTTGTCTCCAAAGAGTTTCTCTAGGACAGGTATAAAGCCCGACACATCTGTAATTATTACCTATTCAGAGTATCTCATCCATTCACTCCTCCATTCATCAGTGACCATATTGAGGAGCTAAGGTGGGCCCGGCATTCCTCAGTCAGCTCCTAACAAGCTCTAGTTCAGACTGCCAACTGTTCCCTGTTCCGGGGGCCTGGCCCTCCCCGGCCCTGGCCAGGAAAGCCTGCTTCCTTCTGGTCAGG